TATTTTAAAGCCAATTTAAAGGAGAGATTTTATTTTAATGCTTATGTTTCTGTGCGTTTTTGTATCTTACCTCCCTGAGTATTCAGGGGGAGTTTTTTACCTGGCAAGCAGCAGCCTGCAGGTTATATGCCGACGTGCAGGTCTCTTCATTCTTTGGGGTAGTCTGGAGCAGCCCAAACCTAGCGTTTTGTTCAAATGTTATTTATATGTGTGTCCTGAGGTGAAAAGGATAAGTCAGGAAAACACAAGAGGGACCTTACAGTCCAAGTAAGAGTACAAAGTTCCCATCTGTGGTGTTTTTAAGCTCTGCAGTCAGTGCAATGAAAGTAGGCACAGGAATGAGTGAGCATTTCGCATTTCTAGGCTAAATAGATGGGTCTTTAATCTTTTCTTACCAAACAGTGAGCAATTCAGAGTTAATCACAAGAAATCAAGAATTCCGTGGTATCTCCCGTCTTCACCCAAATCACCTTCTCCTGAGTTCTTCAAAGACTGCTGTCTTCCTTCGGGGTAAAGATTGTTTTTTGTTTCTATACTTCTGTCTCTACTTCTCATGTAGACTCAGACATTTATATTCCACCATGGCTAGAATTCTGAGTTATTTTGAACTTCAAATATTTCTTTTGTTCCATAGGTGCCTGAGTATATCTTACCAGCTCCCCGGCATTGCCAGACTGTGCCATGAATGGATTATACTTCTGGTGAAATTCCTGACGGCGTTTTGTTCAGTTACCACTGCAGGGTTCTTGTGTATTCTCATGCACCCTCTCTGGGTTTCTGTTTTGCTGCACTGCAGACTGATTAAGGGACACTTTCCAAACCGCAGGGCTGTCTCTTTATTAGTCCCCTAAGCTGTTTCATTGGCTGCATTGTTCTTTTATTTCGATCTATATTCAGTCTAATTTCAGACTTCTTTAGCTTTCTGAAATTCTGTAGACTTTCTCCACTTAGTCTTTTTTAGCCTTATTTTTATTTTTTAAAGATTCATCTTTTATCATCTCTGCACAAAATAGTTATTTCCTCTTTTCTTCTTTAGTCTTTACTATTCCTGAATATTCACTAATAGCCTTGATCTTAGACACTCTAAACTCATTACAGACTAGATACTCTTCATTTTCATTTGGTTTTTAATTCTGTGTCTTATGTCAAAGGAAGAAATGTATGTGAAAGGCTTTTACAAGCCAGAAAGCACTATACACATATAACTTATTGAGGTTAACAAAGGACCACTGTGCCTCTTTTCACGCTTTCTGCTCTTCCCAGCCAAAAGAACTTCTCCATAGACGAGGGAAATATTGAAGAAAAATAAAGCTGTGGAGTTGTCTCTTAGCAACTGAGTTCGTGCCTTATAAATCTTATCCACTTTAGATTACTGCTGCTCAAATCACTTGCTTTTCTTACTGGCGCAGTACAAATAATGTTATTAAATTATAGGAAAACAATGGGAACAATCTAATGAATGAGTCACTAAGTTAATCAATTGCACTGTGTTTTTGCATGGTACAATTGACATAGCTGGGTTGTTTCTCTAAATTATAATTGTAAAACTTTTTGTTATATATCGTTTATTGCAACATTAGTTGTAAACAAAGTATAAGTTAAATACCACCTTATTTATTTCTAGGTTGCCTGAGTCCTAAAACAATTATGGATCATACTGGTAGTTTATAACATATACCACGTATAAAAGTGAAATTGCACTTACTTTAAAGAAAATCAGATGTACAAAAACTTCAACCAATTAGAATGTGATTATGTACATTATAAAATAACTCATTATAGGGATTTTTGGTAGATCTTCATAGCATATTTCATTCAGCAAATATTCAGCAAATATTTCTAAGTGTCTCCCATGCTAGACAATAGAAGGGATAAGATTATATGCGTGTGTGTGCATATGTGGACGTACACTTGGGCCTTCCATCTGCAGATAAGACAGTTTGGTGATAAATGCCTTATGAGTGGTAAGCTGACTGCTATAGAAGTTCAGAGCAGGGGAAGGTTGCTTCACACAGGGAGAGCTATTATGGTTACATGGACAAGGTAATATGATAGAGAACTGAATACTGAAAGTTTATCAAGTTTAGTAATTAAGGCAACATTGAAGAGTAAGCTGCTGGTGTCTTCCGTGCTAGAGCAAGAAGTTTAAGCTGTAGTCAGTAAGCAATGGGGAGCCACTGATTTTTTTTTCTTTTTAATCAAAGGCTTATCCAGGAAAATGTATCTGATGGTAATGTCCAATTTCAATTTTTTTTTAAAAATTGGTTCCCTGTTACTCTTTCAGGCTCCTTTTGTACAAAACAAATTTATGTTTATAAATAAGTGAATTATGAAATTGATTCATTTTCAGTCTTTTTAAAAGGTAGTCAAAAACTATTTTTAGATGCAATTAGATATGATAAGATAAGCTGCTTAGTTAAGATATAAGCTGTGTACCAAGTGGGACAAAATGCCACTTTTCATACTTTCTAAAGTATGAGATACTGTCTCATTTCTCCATTCTCAAAGTTGAAGCAGAGAGAAATCCTCCATTCTCATTTTCTCCCCAGACTTGGCTAGAATGAATGTGTATAATGAAAAGAGCTTCTCATCAGTAGTCCTCTCAGATTTGTTCTGAATTATGCCAAATATTTATATAATTCTGTAAAACACTTTGTTTCCCTGCCTTCTCCTTTGGGGGAAAAACAAATAAATAGTAGGTGTGGGAGTTTGCCTCCTATTGTGAGAGTCCACTGATACAGATGAAGTGCTGTGTAAATACTGGAGAAGCGCAATTAACTTAGACACTTTGTTAGTAGAAACCAGTGTGGTTTGGAATGTAGTGTTTCAGTAATAAATACTATATAAATAAAGTTGGCTATTGTTTTCCATGTATAATTTTTTCCATTCTTCAGGGAATTTACAGCATGAGATGGTCCCCACCTGTTACTATTAAGGGGGTAGCACTTTCTACAGACTTACTTCACCATGAGTCATGTTTTTAAAACAACACAACTAGAAAAGCTGTGTTTTTGTGAGCCATAGTAGAAACCAAAAGGTTAGGAATGTAAATCCTGCCTTAGTTACTAACTTGATGTGTTACTGGACAAATCAGTAATCCTTTTTGTCCCTCAATTTTCTGCCTAGACCATCTGAAGAAACTGCCTGCTGTGTCAAAAACGTGCAAGTGTGGGAGATTCTGGGACATAGAACTAAGGGCTACTGTGCAAAATATTTAAGAATAAGATTGTGGGCCATGTGCTTCGGGGCTGGTGGGTTCGAACCTCACCTGGACCTGCTAAATGACAAACAAACAAAAATAGCTGGGCACTGGGCATTGTGTGGACGCCTGTAGTCCCAGCTACTAGGGAGGCTGAAGCAAGAGAATTGCTCCAGCCCAAGAGTTTGAGGTTGCTGTGAGCTATGACACCACAGTACTCTACCGAGGGTGACAAAGTGAGACTCTCTCTCAATAAGAAAAAAAAAGAAAGAAAGAAAAAGACTGTGGGAAGTCAAACAGCATACTGATTTGCTGTCTTCTTCCCCATTGCATTGACCAGGCAAGGCCACGCCTGTGTTCAGAGTTGCAGTGGGGAGGAGGGATGTGTATCCAAGAAGAGTTCATGGTTTCTACTCTGAGGATCTGGTCACCTTTCAGGTCGATTTCAGTCTGAAGAAGCTAAAAAAAATGGTACTTGTTTCTAATCCTGTTCTTGGTGATGTTTGGGCCTCTTCTGAGACATACTCAGCGTCTCTCTTGAGAAGACTCAGGCCTTCTGAGTAGCCTCGACTGTCTTCATTTTTCTATAAGCTTCTGGAAGGACATAGTTCTGGATCTAGGACTACACTGAATAATCCTTTCTGGTCCTGGATATAGAGTATGTGTCTTTAAGATGGAAAAAAAAAAAAAAAAAACAGGATTTTTACTACATGATGAATTTGTGGTAAAGATCTAATAGTAACAAATTAAGTAAGTTGTTTTTTGAAAATATTTTTTGGGTTTCAGAGCAAGGATTTTCTTTCTCTACTTCTGACCCAAACATGAAGTTCAGAACAGTCCTTGAAAATGTCACTTCATTCCATTAATTAGAAGTATTTCTTTTATCTGAAATTAAGGCTGAATGTGACTAGATTTTCTCAAGTCTTAAACATTAGGAACACACAGAAGTTTTAGAAATGAGAAATTATTTTGAATGCTTTACCCTTGCCCATACTGTTTAGGTGCCAGATTGAACTTGCTATATTGAATTGAATCAAATCTAAGCATGCTTGGTAAAAAATAATAGCCCCTGGCTTGAGAGCTAGAAAATGTAGTTCATTTGTAAACCAGAATGGTCCTGGCCCAGTTTTAAAGTATGAAAACCTCCAAACTACCTTGGCTAGTGCCTAGTGTTGTAGAACCAAGCTATAAAACGTGAGGGCTCAGGATGTTCCATAGTGGTAGGAATCTGCTGTTGATTCTCAGCGTATCAAACCCATGGTGAATACTAGTGTACAAAGCGTGCGGTCCAGGTCAGATGGCAACAGGAGCATGAATAGCAGAAGACCAAGTTCAGAGAAGAAGAGGAAACTACAAAAAGAAAGCAGAGAGGAAAGGGTTGCTTGAGTAGCCATGAAGGCACATGATAGACACACAGAGAATGTTGCTTCTTTCTCGCTTCTTGTCTGCCCTATCCACCAGAAGATTATGGGGAATTAAAGAAAGCCTCGACTCAGAAAGAAAAAGAAATTGACATAAACTGATCATCTGTATTGCTCAGGAGTTTTAAATGATTTTTAGGTATGCACGCCAGCTTAAACATGTTTGACCAAACATATTCCTGGGTTCCTCCTCTTTTAATCTAATCACACTGTGTTATCCAAAAGACCATTTGCTATGTGTGGCTCAATTGCCTACTGTCCAGAATCCTGAAGGAACAGGATAGGAAAGCTTAGGGAGTACTTTTTTTCCATTCTCTTTCCACATGGGTACTTATTTTCTTCCATTTAAAGCTTATCTACAACCCTCATTTTCTTTTTAGGTAACAGTATGACTAAATACACTGAGAAACTAGAAGAGATCAAAAAAAGTGAGTATGGTTTGGGGAAATGGAACTTTGTAGCTGCTCTATCAGTTGGTTATTAATAGCCATGTGTGCAGCTGACACGCAGGGAGAGCTGTAGGGCCCTGGGGACCTGACAGGTGCCTTGGAGGACATAAGGCACAGGGTCCATCCTGCTCAGCTCCTGAGGTTGTAGCCTGTGCACCTGAGTTCTGTCCAAATTTCATCTCCTAAGAGATATTAAGTATTGGAATGTGGCGGGAGGTCCACAGGAGTGAGCTCTGATTCAGCTTGTAGTTTCTTTGTATTAACAGTCTTCATGGCCTTCCTCAAGGTACACATATTTAATCCTATCTTATTTTATAATAAGATGAGATGGGGGCAATAATATCTCTCAATAACATTCTTGTGAGTATAGAGTATTCATGAAAGACTTAGAGGTGGGCTCGGCGCCTATAGCTCAACCAGCTAAGGCGCCAGCCACGTACACCTAAGGTGGCGGGTTCGAATCCCCAGCCCGGACCCGCCAAACAA